TGTTATCTTGGTCCCTCCCGGCGGACCCCCGGCACGCACCGCTCCCGTGCCGAGGGCTCTCTCCTGCATTCCTGGCATTGCCGAGGGGCCGCCTCCCCGCCAGCCCTTTGAAAGCCAACGGGTTGGGATTTTCCCGTAATCTGGTTTGAAACGTTAATCCGGTCATCCACACCAAACGCCGGGCTGGCATCCTGCCGGGGCACTGGGGTGCGGGGTCAGCGCCGCCCACCCGCCCGCTGCCTTCCTAATTCTTCCTCCACTTAATTATATATCTGCTGGCAACGGCCATCTGGCACCTCGTCCTCAGCCGGCCGCAAGGACGGAGGGCTGGAGCTGACGGAGGTTGCACCAGCGGTGAGGCGGGTTGGGCACCACAACGCAGAGCCAGCCGTGCCGGTGGCGCCGGGCATTTGCCCTGTGCTGGGTGAGCACTGGGAGCGCCGGGTGCACGGGGCCGGATCCCCCAGCCCGGGGGGCTCTTGGGGAAGTGGGGGGGCATCTCCTGGGCTGGGCTCTTGGGGAAGTGGGGTCTCCTATCCCTCCGACCGGGCTGGGTTCGGCTGGGCTGGGTGATACCCTCACCGCGCTCTCGGACCTGTCAGCGGTGCGGTGTGGCCGGGCAGCCTCCCCACTGTAAGGGGATATTCTCAGGGCAGCTGCATTACAGATTAAGTCGTTTCCACCTCCCTGCGGCCTCCCTAATTACGAAATGTAAATCTATTGAGTCAGCGGCGGCAGGGTGGCCTCTCCCTGTGGCTCACTGCCCGGCGGCCGGCGTTACCTTTGCACCGAGCCTCGCCGCCTCCGCCCGCACTTCCTCAACGAGGAACCGCGCTTTGTGCCGAGCAGAAGCCATGCCCGAGCACGGCGGGCAGGGCATCGGCACCAGCCAGGGATCGGCACCTGCTGATTTCGGTCCGGTGGTGCCAGCGGCACCTGGTCCGTGCCGAGCCTGGCTGCACACTCAGTTTCGCATGCTGCTGAAACGAAAACATGTTTCTGTTCCTCAATTTTTATTTTGAGACCCAATATCTAAGCTTTCCTACGATGCCCGCACTGTCTTTCGGTGTTTGCAGGGTGCATGGCTCCTCTGCCGTGTCCTCGCCAGTGCGGGGGCGCCGCGGGCTGCCAGCGAGGTGTCCCGGCAAACGCGGGATGCTGTCAATGCAAGGAAATCCTGCGAGGGGCTGCTGGAAGTCGCTCGTCTCTGCCCCCTTCCATGTCTCTGCCTGTGCCCGGGGGGACGGGGGTAGCTCGGCGGATGCTGCTTGGTCACGTGGTGCCCGCCACGGTGCAGGCAGGGCACGTCCCGGCCACGGCGGGGCACGTCCTTGCCTCGCGGCACTGCTGGCCGAGCTCCCCGGGAAGCTGCCCTCACGCCGGGCGGTTCTGCTGGCATCGGCAGAGCCAGACGAGGGTCCAGGGGGGCTCCTGGGGGTGCAGCTGGGGAAGCGCCTGGCACAGGGGAGCCCTGGCCCGTCCG